AACCCGTTGCCCAGTATGAAACTCCAGCGTATAGCCGGCGCCGATCTAGGCGTGGTGTGTATTTTGCAAAAAGTTCACACATGATTAATTGATATACAAAATTTCACATGATTAATTAATATACAGTGGATGTACCGTATAGGCATGGTAGTTCATACTAATTGGTGTGGCCTAACCTTGGATATTTGTCTCGGTATATAAGCGTCGGCGCGAATAAGAAATATATAAAATGCGATACTTTTGGGTAAACGAGTGTTGAATTCTCGTCAATACTCTCGACATCATTGCCGAGAAGTGGCGACACATTTGTCTCCATTGAATGCGAATGTAATTTCATTATTAGACGAAACTATATATAAAAATGTATTAATTTAGTAATTATATAATTTTAATGATGATTAAAAATATATAACTATAGACCAGCTCCAATAGCAGCGATGCAGAGCATATTGGCCGCAGATTGACCATCAGTACAAAACACGTGGTAAATGTAATGATGAATAGCATATAAAACACGTATGATATGACCCACAGAGCGTTAATAGTTGCCGAGTATTTGTGATTATAATTGAATTGCAAATAAATTTTTAGTCGATTTAAGGGGAAATAAATGGCAAATATAGTGATGTGAATGAATGTCCAGCAAATGAAACCGATGGGAAAGTCGCCAAACATGAACACCAAGTACTCCCAATCGTACCAAAAGCTTTAAGGTTATTTAAATTTACAATTACTACAATAATTTTAAATATAAAATTATTATTAAATAATTTATAAAACAATGTTAATAAAACAATTAATAAAATTTACGTACATCGAAGGGGTAATCCAGTAATTGCCGACCCGACACACCACGGCATAGCATACCAGAACAGTCACAATATTGTAACAACTTTTTACATCGGGATTATTTTCATATAATTCACTAAAACATAGATTAATTCAATTTTATAATACATATAAAATTATACAATAATTGTTAGCTTAATAACATTGTAATTGTTAAGATTGTAATTAATTATTATTATTATTAAAATCGTGATAAACATAATTAATTAAATAACTATTACGTTAGCGGTGAAGGACGACAAACAAACTTCTTGTTTGAATACTTTGTATAAAGTTTAGTCTTAAATTCATTGTCTCTAACATCAGTAGTATTTTCGTTGACATCCACTTCAATATCCATCATATGTTTCGCATAAATACCAAACTTAATACTAATAAAGCGTTTTTTAGGCCTCTTTCATGTCACCAAAAGATCACTTTTGGAGTCAATGATTGTGACAATTGTCTCATTAAAATCCAAGGCAATCCTCCACAGAGAAAATAAATAGTAATTCATATCATCTGACTTAATATAAAGTAGTATGACTTTACAACATCAACAATTTGATCACCTGTACTGCGAATGTGTGCTGAATATCAGTATTGGAAACAAACTACACTGAATATATTTTTAACCCATAATTGTACTATTCGTGACCCTGGCTACTTCTAACCCGTGGATTTAATATTTGGTAGACTGGTATGGCTCCGGGCATGGGTTGGCAATGGGTAAAGGTAATTCCAGGTATGTATCATTAATTTATCCTATTCTAACTAGGATAGCTTGACTAGGATAGTGGCATGTAAATTTACCATATTTCAAATTTAGGCAATGACCATGACCATGATTTTCTTTTAAGATTAATGAACTATTGGCATTGGGTTTCATAATAATTTAGTACTAAGCATAAGTACAAAAGTATAATAGCATAAGTTTTATTTTTTGGCACAAAATAGTATAAGCATGTATCTAAAATTTAATCAAAATACATTTTTAATAATATTTATAAATTCCTAATGCTTAGACGTATAATTAAATGTTTTGAAATATTTTTCAATCAGATATATCATTTAATTTACAATTTTATACATGATTACAACTTTAAATTCAATTCAATGTTTTTTAAAGTTTATATTCACATTTAATTATAACTTTAAACATGTTTGAAATAATCAGTTATTAATTTTAATTGATATAAAAACTTTTAAAGAATCTCTCTCATATAATAATCACAAAACATTAATTTAAAATTCTTAACTAGTTAAAAATATGTCCGAGATGCCCAAGATAATTTTTTATATAAGCTTCAAAATTATCTAATGACGTACCAAAAAAATATAAGATGTATAACTAATTATAATCAACTTGTTAAACAAATTAACTTGTTTTTATATTCATGTATTATTTAAACTTTAAATTTTAAAGCATGTTCTTGAATTCAATAAGCTAACTTTATTAATAAATTGATAGTTATGCACAGTATATTGAATAATAATTCTTTATTATTATCGCAATTATTGTTACAATAATAGTTGTTTAATTCACTATTTTATGCATCAATCATTTACCGTAATTAACATTTTAAAATTTATTTATTTCATTATAAGTAAATAATTAATAAATTGTATATATTGTATATACAAAAATATTGAATATTGAATATAACTTATAAGAAATTGTGTTATATTGTACTGTATTATGGAAATACCTACTCACATTAGTTTTAATATATGCCATTTAAACTATTTAAAAAATTAATTAGCCTGCGAATTTTCATTTACATTTAGGCAATGAAAGTGATGATTTAATTCAAGGGAATTTTAGGGCATGTAATAAAAAAAAATTCTGTCAAATTCTGTATGTTTTACTAATAATGATAATATTTATAAATTATAAGCATGTAATACAGTATAAAAATATTTTACAACTAATACCGTATAGTACAGTATTAAATGAGAATTTGAAATAGAAATTTTCAGATTCCCAGAAATTGGGGCTAAAAATATATGCTTTACTTTCGCTTTTTAATTTCAAAACTAGTTTTTATTATCCCTAATACCAATATTGGGATTGTCGGGGAATTCCCAATACTATTGCTATTTTGCACAAAAAACTAGTTTATTAGTCTACTAAATATTTCGCAAATGTACGGTATATTTATTTCACATAATATTTATTCTTTAATTTATAGAGCATTTAATTTTATTTAAAATTATGATTTCAATGAAAGTCGAAAAATATCAATATTAATGATATACTAAAATATTTAATGAAATACTTAAAAGTTTAATGAAATACTTTAGCATAAATTACTCAATATATTAAACACCTTTAAAAATGCAGTTAATTTTACTTAAACAAGGTAATAAATAATTAATAATACAAACTATATCCTTCATACACCGTTAATACCGTTAAAACTCAAGTATTAATTGACAAAAATATATTAAAAATGGTGAACACAATCGCATACAACCAACAAATCGCATATCCAAACAGCACTTCATAGGACAGTACAGTCCAGCCCCGAAACAGTACGGATCGCATCGATATTATCGGTCCGGTTATTGGCCACCACTTGACCACTGACTGAAACAAGATCGGCATCGACTCGATTGGCCAAAACACACCCGACACCACATACAGGGGCGTTGAGATATAGGTGGCGATCGCCTATTAAGTTAAATGTAAATTACATTATGGTATTAATGAGTGCAAATAGCAATTAATAGTACACACCGTTGCCATCACATCATCTTTGAATAGCAAAGAGATGAAAGAGCCCAAAGCCATGCCCTCCAGAGCGACGGACACCAGTAGTCCGTATACGTCGGCCACCGAACCCAACAGCCGGTACTCCAGTATATAAAAGGCGAATACAATGACGAGAGACGTCTGTATCAACACATTAATCGTTATGATCACGTGGTGTGTGAACATCATCTCAAGAGCTGTGACACCGGCCACCAGATCCCTCTCCTTCTGACCTCTGCTGCGGTCGTTGATGGAGAAAAGGGCCGATAGGGTCACAGTCACGGTATACACGCAACTGACCAGAAAGCCGGGTATAAATAGATTACTAAACGAGTAGTCAGTGTCCTCTTCGGTGTACACATCGATTGGCAACGAGAGGGCCCGCGGGTTGTACTGAGTCTCGGGCGCCACTCCGGCCAAAAACCTATTAAATGTTTGCCAGAGGTAGTACTGGGCGTAATAGCCCTGAATGTCGGACATGTCGGCGTACACCAGGATCTGACTGTCGGCCAGCTCTTCGTCGGTGGCGTCGATCGGGTACAGGAGTCGAGTGCGAAAACTGTCGGTAAAATTGCGGGCAAACGTCACCGACAATACGCTGTGGCCGTCGCTAACGCTCCGGACGGCCGACTCGTTGGTCGCGTGTATAGTATAGTTGAACAGCCGGTCATCGATGGCTGCGGTAAACCGTGTGGACAGCGGATCCGCGGCCCACTCGTCGGCGGCCGTGTGTATGGCGATGGGTATCCGACGGGGACTACCGAAGCACACGTGGAGTCCGTATATCAACAACAGTGGGAACAAGTGGTACATGAATAGGGCGGACGGGTTCTGTTGGAGGCGTAACCAGTTTTTCCAGACCAATGTCTTCACGCGATTCACGCGGAACTCGTATTTGGGTCTCATTTTGTCGGTCATTATCTCAGCGCTGGTGTTATCGTCGGATGTCTGTGTCGGATGAGCTGATGGGCCGGCGTACGAATGCTCTTTGATGTCTTTGTTTGATTGTATGCATAACTGGAGGTATACTTCTTCCAGTTTGTGGCACTGGTATTGGCTGATGAGCTGTTGGGGCGACGACTGGGCCAGACATCGGCCGTTGTAGATGAAGGACACGGTGGCAGCGCTGGTCGCCTCCTCGATATAGTGGGTGGTTATCATTACTGACAACTCTGCGGCCAACAAAACAAACAAATCATATAAATTATTAAATCAAAGCAACGGCTAATACAAGAGTAAATACCGTTGAGTTTGCACTGGTTTTCCAGGTATTCCCAAATACGGGCCCTGAGTATGGAGTCGAGACCGACGGTGGGCTCGTCGAGCACCAGTAGCCGCGGTTTGTGGATCATTGTGACGGCCATCGACACCAACCGCTGCTGACCGCCGCTCAGTTGGCCGACGAAATGGTGATCTTCGGGCAAATCCAACAGTTCCCGAAACTCGTGGATCCGATCGGCGGTCAGTTTGGCGCCCATTGAGTAGATCATAGCGTAATAGCGCAGAGCCTCGGCCACTGTCAGGTCCGGATACAGCGCGATGTCTTGAGGCATGTAACCGACCCGCGGCCCGGGTATGCCCGACAGTTGAGAGCCCGGCCGGCGGCCAAACACCGTTACCGTACCGGCGCTTGGCTTCAATATGCCTAATATGAGTCGAGAGAGTGTGGTTTTGCCGCAACCATTACAGCCCAGGAGAGCGCATATTTTGCCTGAAAATATTAGTTAACTGTAGTTAAAATACTGCAAGATTTTTTTGTGCATGTTAAAATCTAAATAATTCATAATTTACAAATATACTATTTGTAAGAAAGTAATATTTTGTTTTGTTAATTACTTTATTATGTAATAAATTTAAATAATAATTACCTTTAATTACTTTAATGTTAACTCCATTCAGAATATTATGATTTTTATTATAACCGAAAGTAACATTCCGTACGTCAATAGCAACGGCATTATTGTCAGTATTTAATGACATTATATAATTAAATCACTATTAATTGGTAGAACTATTTTTAAATATTCAAGTAAATGTATAAATAATTTTAAAATAATTAAGATGTTGATGCTAATTAATTAAACAAAACGATCATCACAATTTAATTGCATTTTTTGGCACAAAGTATAGACAAATATATACACATAAAAACTGAAATAACGTTAGCTTTTCAGTCAACATGTATATAAAATCTCATGACATTTGTATGAAAGGTATGTTTGAAATGTTTATAAAGTATTTTTCCATTTGAGATGTGATCTTCACTCTCATAACTGGTACCCAATCCCTCATCACTTGTTTTTTTTTGGATAAAAACTTTATTACTATTTCATATGAAACTTGTTTTTTCTCTCAGTCTCTCAGTCGCGGACTTCCCTTGAAATCAGGCTTTAATTGAGGTTTGAATGTGAGTTCCAGTGAAAGCTTTTCACCTGAAAAAGTGCATTGAATTTATGATTTGATATATATTTTCAAACATTGAATTCAAAATATAAGCATTTTTTCTAAAGTGAAACTTATTTGTAATTCATTTGATTATTTTTAATTAAAAATAAATTTAAATGTTTATGAACTTTCCGTGAAGAGAGAGAGAGAGAGAGAGAGAGAGAG